ATCTGGTTTTTGCACCAGACTGGGTATTTCCTAATGACATAATAATAATAATAATAATAATAATAATAATAATAATAATTTTTATTTATACCCCGCCCTCCCTAGCCAAGGCGGGGCTCAGGGCGGCTAACAAGCAATAATAAAAACAAGTTGAATGAATACAACTTAAAAACAAAGTTAAAATGCAACATTAGAATATTGAAATATTAAAATGTAGCCTCATCGCAGGAGGAGAAAGGAAAAGAAAAAAGAAAGAGGGGGAGGGAATCAAATTGACTCCAAGCCAAAGGCCAGGCGGAACAACTCTCTTACACGCCCTGCGGAAAGAAAGCAGATGCTGCAGGGCCCTGGTCTCATGAGGAAGATCTGCTTCTTCCCCTATCCCTTTCCTCCTTTTACCACCTGAAAGGGACATAATCATTTCAGATTCTAAATGCACAGCAGAAAAATATTTCTCCTGTTTAATTTTTTTACTGGTTTTAAAGATCCCACTCAGGGTCAGGATGGGTTTCTCTCAAAATATGAACAACCTGTTACCACCATGCTATGCCGATTCCTGCAAAACTGCAGGTGCTAGGGAGATGCTTGGGTACATAAGAGTGGTGCTCCAGTCTCAAATAGACTCCATGAATTACCACAGGCTCCGAAGAAGAAGAAAAAGATCAATGTGATCTGCAGCCTGGAGCTGTAAAGCTGCCTTGTAAGTGAAAAAGCTAATGCAATTGAACTTTCTTTTTCCTTTGCTACAGTGCTCTTCACTTATGGCCTCTTTGATCTGCCTATTCATAGCCGTGAAGCAAGCAAAATTTAATCAAGCCTGCAGGGTGGGGGGAAAGAGCAATAGAAGAAGTGCTCCCGGCACTAGGTGCCAAAAACAGAGCTGTCAATCAAGGATGAGTCATGATGCCTTCGTGTTGTTAGCCTCTTTATGCTTCTTCCTCAGAGGACTGGTTCTCTCTTCCACTTGGCTGTGGAAGAACCAGAGGCTATAGAAGGATATTGGCTGGCCAGATGAGGGTCTCCATATTCTTGCTCTCCCTTCTACAATGGGGACAGCATGAAATGTCTAATCACGTTGGCATTTCACAAGCCACAAGAGAAGGAAGATTTGCTTTGTAGAATGACAAAAGACCGTCCCAGGGGTCCTGTAGTGCTTTTGTAAGTCAGCCTCCAAGCAATTTCTCTCCCCATACCCAGCTTTTGCAGCCATTTGATTTGGAAAGGAAGTGGTGAAGAGAAGGAGAGCTTTGCACAGCTTAAATTCAACTTATTTTATCCCTATCTGGGGGGGGGGGAGGGATTCTCTGACTGGCAAGATGCAAGAATATGGTACAATTTCAAATTTACTATCTGCCAACACATGCCATTCAATCAGATAAACACAGGATCTGAGCTGTCATCACAGCATTTTATGCATGCTTAAAAATAGGACACTTCACACATTTGCAGTGGAATTGACTCATATAGATTATATATGCTAGGGCCACTTAAAAAGTTTCATGGGGTTGGAAAACTCTTCAGTGCCTAGAAAGTTCCCTTACTGTTTAGCATGAAGAAATGTGGAGCTTGAAAAAGGTGCCGTTGAGTCGCGGAATGTGTGCCTACAACACGGGCATGTATGCATAAAGTACAGTTTGTAAAGTGTGAATGTGTGTGGACCCATCTGCATATTTTGTGTGGAAAATATTGGCGCTCCACAGAATACAACAATAAAATCCCCATTAAGCTAGTAGTTCCCTGCATGACTAAGAAACTAACAAGTTGCAGAGAGTATTAAAGAAATCATGGCCTCCCTAGACTAAACAAAGTGATGACTCTAGTGCCAAGTCCTATATCCAGTGCTGTTTCTGAAGTGAGAGAGAAGGGACATGGCAGCTGTAACATCAGGATGGAGAGGGTCAAGGATGGTAGAGGCTGGTGGGAGCAAGTGGAGAAAGCACAAGGAGACCACTGTAGCTTGGAGGTACAGCATCTGCCTTGCATGCAGAAGGTTCGAGGTTCAGTCTCAGCATCTTTAGTGAGGGCTAGGAATTGTGCCCTGGTTGAAACCCAAGGGAGCTGCCAGCAATCAAGATACACAGCAGTGAAATAGATTGACCAGTGGTCAATAAGGCAGCTTCCTATGTTCTTAAGGTTGTGGGTGGGGGTAGGCGGAAAGGAAGGAAGGTATTTGCAGCAGCTTCTGAGAGCTGGAAAGGAAGGCGGAAAGGAAGGAAGGTATTTGCAGCAGCTTCTGCTGCGGAAAGGAAGGAAGGTATTTGCAGCAGCTTCTGATAGGAAGAATTTGCAGCAGCTTCTGAGAGCCAGTGCAGTGTAGTGGTTAAGAGCAGTGGACTTGTACAGTGGTACCTCGAGTTAAGAACTTAATTTGTTCCGGAGGTCCGTTCTTAACCTGAAACTGTTCTTAACCTGAGGTACCACTTTAGCTAATGGGGCCTCCCGCTGCCGCCGCGCCGCACGATTTCTGTTCTCATCCTGAAGCAAAATCCTTAACCCAAGGTACTATTTCTGGGTTAGCGGAGTCTGTAACCTGAAGCATCTGTAACCCGAGGTACCACTGTAATCCGGTGAACTGGATTTGCTTCCCTGCTCCTCCACATGCAGCTGCTGGGTGACCTTGGGCCAGTCACACTTCTCTGAAGTCTCTCAGCCTCACTCACCTCACAGAGTGTTTGTTGTGGGGGAGGAAGGGAAAGGAGAATGTTAGCCGCTTTGAGACTCCTTAGGGTAGTGATAAAGCGGGATATCAAATCCAAACTTTTCTTCTTCTACCGCTCCATAACCCGTGCTAAGGAGAAAGCAACCTATCTGTTTTATTCCCACAAAGTGGAAGCCCACATTGAACATGCTGACATTGGCTCAGTCCTTGGCTGACCTCACCCACAATCTCGGTTACCCGGGACAATGGACATCATGGGCTTTGAGCTACAAGCTCTCACACACTGACATGTGCTGCTGTTGCTTCCTGACCCCCCCAGGCAAGTGTGCTTCCTGACCCCCCCAGGCACTGTAGAACAAAAAGGGGTGTGGCGGCAGGGATAGTGGACCAGCTTCAGCAGACAGCTGCAGTGTGTGTCATCGGTGTGCAAATAACACAAAAGTGCCTACAATCTGCTGCCCCCTGTTTTGGCAGAAGTTGTACCGCTGACAATTTTAACGAATGAGGTGAATAAGCAAGAAGGGCTGTTAGCCAAAGAGACCACACTGAAGATGGGGGACAGCGAAGTAGTTTCATATGCTGATTTGAACTCGCCAGCCAAATCACTGACTTCAAGTTCCTAGTAACCAATTGCTATGTACTATGAATTTCTAGTAGAACAAGCGCGTTGCCAAGTATCAAGCAGCCTGGTGAGTAGCAGAATGCTCCACAAGGTGGTTATGTGGTGAATTGTTTGTCATTCGCCTACTTCCTCTCCAGGAAGCCGCAGAAGATGGCAGCTCTGAAGTGTTAACCAGCCCTCTTGAGCTATGGAATCCTTAGTCTGTCTCAACGGTGTCAGCACTTATGATGGTTGGAGAGATGTGGAGTTACAGACAAAGCATTTTTTGTTTTTGTTTTTAATTCCTTTTTAAAATGAATTCTTTGGATAAAACCTCTTTTTTTTAATTTGAAAGCCGCCTGCCAGGAATCCATGTTAAGAACCGGTAGTTGTGTACTGTTTGTGGCTTTTACATGGCTAGCTTTATTTGACTTTTTCTGTATGAACTGTTTTATTTACTGTGCTCGCTGCCTGCCACCTGGCTGGCTTGTGCTGTTCTCTTTGTTTTTGCATAAGCACTTCTAGATTAAGAGTAGGTAGGTTTCTATAAATATAACGATGGACTAAAAGCTTTTGAGAAGTCTTTCAAAAGCAGTAAACATTCCCGCAGAAACACTTTTTGCTTTGTTTTTGGTGGGACTTAATGATGGGGTTCTTTGTTTTAACCCATTTACTCTATTGTATACCTGGCAGATGTCCGTCTTATGAGTCATCTGCCAAATGTTAGATTGCTGCATAGTCAAAATATCCTGGTCTTGCTTGTATCAGGCTCAAGGCCAAGTTGCGTAAGCAGCTGGCTGTTAACAAAGGACACAGCACAGAACTAATTTTACACATGCAGTCCTGTGTTTGTCTATTTGTTTAGTATTGTAAGGGCCTTGGGCAGTGGTGTCCTTACCCACTTAGCTTGCAATCCACGCCTCAGCAATGCTTATGGTTAGGAGAGCAGTCGAAAAGTCTCCTTTTGGTGGGCTTTTGAACTCTCCTAGGTATTCTGTGTTGTCTTCTATTGTTTACAATGTCTTTTGCTTTTTGCCGTTTCCGTTGTACACTGCTCCTTGGAGCAGGGTATAATCTATCAACAGTAATCTATAGTGCTTTCAAATGTTCATTATAACATTTTCTAATTATAATTCTCACAACAACCCTGTAAGGTTAGTAGTATTCTTACCCATATGCAGGTGGCGGGAGGGGAACTGAAGCTGAGAGAGAGAGAGATGAAGACGAAAAGAGTGCCTTGCCTAAGGCTACATAGTGATTTCATGGGAGAGACAAGTGTCAAACTGGGAACTCTTGATTCATACCTTAGTTTCAAACCCTTAAAGGGTCTGTGATCTATACAGCAGATACAAGCTCACTTGCAACACGAAAGCTCTTTTTGGCATGTTCTCCTCTCCCCCCTCCAAACCCAGTTTCTGCAGGTGTGCTTGAAAGAGAGAGAGAGACAGAGACTCTCTAACATATGCACAGGTGGTCATTTCCAAATGGTCATTTCCTGTAACATGCATAGAGTCATCACATCACCAACAAATAGTCCCCGGCTTCATTTCTGCTGCTGGAAATAATGGCCTTGCTTGCATGTGTTCATGACAGCAGAAGACATACCTGTAAGAGTGGGAGGAACTTGTGGATTGACATACCAGGCCATCTGCCAACAAGCTCACCCTTCATTACAGCTCAGACTAGGGTCCAGAAACCACCTTGCTTAATAAACCTTTGGCTTTTCTTTTCCCCTTACAGATGGATCGTGTCATTTTTTGTGTATTTTTGGAGGTTGACTACAAAATTTACAAGAAGAAAATGAATGAATTCTTCCCTGCAGGTGTGTTAATTTATTTGTTTCCTTGAAAAAGAAATGTATTCTTCAGATACTGCCCACATACTATATGTATGTATAGTGTGTGATTTATATCTTTATAGCATTTCTCAATATCTTCAATGGTGTATAAAACATGTCAGACTATCCTCCACCAGGGCCAGGGCCTTTTCAGTGTTGGCTTCGACCTGGTGGAATGCTCTGCCCCATGAGACTAGGGCCCTTGTATGACAGAGCTATTCTGCCTGGCCTTGAATTCAGCCTTCTATTTCTATTTCCCTTCTCTTCCCTCCCCCTCCCCTTTTATGAAGATTACCCGCTCTGAGACCCCTAATTCTCCCCTGGCCTCCTCGCTGGCCCAAGTAGGACTAATTCAGCTAGCTAGCTAGCCCTGGTGATTATCTAATGCTTATTAGATGGATTTCCCCTAAATTGATTTCTGAACTTTGAATTTTATTGTTATTCATGTTTTTATACTGTATTTTATGCTGCTTTTACAATTAAGTGCTTTGAATTTGTTGTTAGCTGCCCTGAGCCTGAATACTGGCCCAACAAGGAACTGCAGGAAGGGTATTCAGTGGGGGAATAATCTGACACCTCGCCCCTAATAAACAACAGTCAGCTGAATAATCCAGTAGTTGTGGCTGTTTGTGAATATGAAGAGTGGAACCAGGGACATAGAAACTGTCCCATGGAAGCCAAACAGCCCATAGCAGCCTAATTGTTCCTGAGAGACACAGCTGTATGGAGGGGAATGCTTCTATCCTCCTGCATCCCCAGAAAAAGCTGCTGGTTTTCAGCAGTGATTTATATGAACTTTTATTAAACAGATGATTGGCAGATGCTTATAATTTCAACTATTTTCATATTGATTTTGAAATACTGGAAGCCCCCCCCCCATCTTTTTTTGCCTCCTTTTCAGAATCTCTCAGAATCCTTTAAATCCCTCCCTGACACCATAGGTCTTCAGAGGGATTAGTTATAATTCACCTCAAGGCTGAGAGACGAGTAATGATCTCTTGTGATCCTCATTTTCCCATGCATTCCCCCTGATCTCACTCATTACATTGGTAAAATTATCTCGTATAGGTCTGGAGCCCTCTCTTGTCTTGAAAACATGAAAATGTAAGGCCGAAATTGTCCCTGCAAACAACAAGCCACCCTCAGCACAAGGCAGCTCCCCTCAGACCACTTTGGAAATGTCATGTTCTGTTTTTCATAGCAGTCTCCTCTCCCTCCACACCCCTTACTTTATTTATTTCATTTATAACTCACCTTTTCTCCAATGAGCACAAGATTATGTACATGGTTCTCTCCCTTCTAATTCAAACCCCACAGCCATCCTGTGAGTTATGCTAGGCTGAGACACTGTGACTGGACCAAGGTTACCCAGTTAGCTTCATGGCTAAGCGGGGATTTGAGCCCTGCTCTCCCAGGTCTTAGTCTGACACACTAACCACTGCACCACACTGGTTCTCAACAATGTAGTTAAATTCTTCTGGTCTGTTCCTCCTGTTCATCATGTCTCCTTTGAAGAATCCTCTAGCAAGTGAAGCAGATAATGGGTACTCCTATACCATATTTTTTGCTCTATAAGACACTTTTTCCCTCCTAAAAAGTAAGGGGAAATGTGTGTTCGTCTTATGGAGTGAATGCAGGCTGCGCAGCTATCACAGAAGCCAGAACAGTGAGAGGGATCACTGCGCAGAGATCCCTCTTGCTGTTCTGGCTTCTGGGATTCAGAATATTTTTTTTCTTGTTTTCCTCCTCCAAAAACTAGGTGCTTCTTATGGTCTGGTGCATCTTATAGAGCGAAAAATACGGTACTTTCTGTGCTACCATCTCAGCACTGCAGTGCACAGCTAAGAATACGGCTTCATGATATGGTCTGAAGGCAGCTAATGCAGCTTTGCTAAAGCTAAGCAACTCTGGGTCTGGTCAGTGCCTGGATGGGAGAACTGCAGGAGAATAATATATACATTGCCCTGGGTTCCAAGACAGAAGAAAGGTGGGATATAAATGTGAAACAAACAAGCAAGCAGAGGTTCACACTGGCCTCAGCCTTGGGCCTCCACCTCACAGTGGTTAGGAAGATGAGTCAGAAGTCTTCCAGTGCTAAATATCCCTGTCCCCATATTGTTTGTGGTGAAGGGAGGGGAAAGAGGTGCTTAAAAAGGAGGACACACTTCTCTCCTTTAACAATTGTTTCCAGTCCCATTTTCATCTTTCGGATCGGAGGTGGGCTGAAGGGCCTGTACATATACTGAAGTAACAAGCAGATTTGTCTGCAGCAGCTCAACAGATTGCCTGAATTACAGCCAAAGAAGTTTGCTTATCAAGGAAAACTAAGGTCTACTTTGCTGCCAGAGTGCCAGAGTAAACAAAAATGAAAAATCAAACCCTTAATCCTCGCATGAACTCTCAGTTGCTACTGGCTGTCCAGCTATTTATGTAAGAAGAGAAATTCTAGCTTCTCTTCATCATGTGATCCCAGGACAAATGATGACAAAAGTAGTAAAGCAATGCTACAATAATACAGTTCAATGCAACTTATAAAAGCAGATAAAAGTACAGCATCATAAAAGTGGCATCTGTCCAGTCCTTCAGATATTTTTGACACCTCCATACGGAGATATTGCCAGGATATCTAAAGATACATTATTAAAATCATAACATTCAGATCACCCCAATGCTACAATTCTGTGATTCTATTAAATCACCCCATGCATGGACTCATAATATTGTCTAGCACATGGTCAGGGAAGTTGAAGAACAGTAAAAGGATGTGTCGTCTCCATCCTTTTGATCCACCACTTGATGGGGTGGTGATTCTAATGACCATGAGATCAGAATCTAACTGCATTAATTATTATGAATTCACAACTACCTAATTATTTTATATCCAAAAGTAAGATCATCTGTGTATGTCTTAAGGCTGAACTTGCTATCACTTCAGTGAGCACAAATGCCTTCTACCACTTAATAATGTTCTTATTCTCAAGTAATTAACTCATTAAAACTGTTTCTTTACAAATAAAAAAGGTACAGTTATAATTCAAAAGTACAGTATGTACTGAAGAACCATGCTCAGTGATATGTCCCAGGTTCAAATTATGGCATCTCTAAGGGAGACTGGGGGAGACCCCTGCCTGAAACCCCAGATTGCTTCTGGTAGTCTGTGTAGACAGACCTGATGTAGATGGACCAGTGATCTCATGCAGTGTAAGACAGTCTCCTGAGATCCTACAAAAGGGTACAAAAGAGCCAAATAAAGCAGAGATTGGAGAAGAGAGATTATCATTAGACTGAGAAAGGTCATAGGGTTTTGTGTTTAGTAGAATCATGGCTCCCCCCCCCCCCCGTCGGAACTCATGGGACCTCAGTTTCAGCACCTCTTAGGTGGGCGTCATTGCCATTCTAAGAGAACAAGAGAGATGCTGATGGTGAGCTCATCACCTCTTTTTCTAGAAAAATAGCACTGAGTGGAATGAAATGGAGATAAATTTGACTGCAAACCCTCAAGAAGGCACATTGAAAGGGTTCGTTTCTGTGTTGCTAACATACACTGTAATGAGATTGCTTGGTTTATGGATGAGCTATGCTAGTTGAGTTTGGTTTATTATGCTATTTTAATGTTTGCTTCATGAGATATTTGTGCAAAATGTTCTTGTGTGAGTTTTATGATATATGTATACCCAGTGTTTGTTTCTGGGGGGACACATACCCCTAAGCATTTTGTGAATCTAAGTTTGGCCTCATTGAGGGGCAGTGTTTCAGTATGAGTAGGAAAATGAGAGTACCCCTAAACATTTTTTTAGGGGGAAAAGGCACTGTGTACACCACTTCGGACCTTTTGGTGGAGGGCAGATTTATAAATCTAACCAATCAGTCAGTCACTAGATCAAGAAGAAAGCTGAAAGGGAAGAATCAGGTGCACCTGGTGTATTCCACATTCTCAAGCAATTTAGAGAAGCACATAAGAAGAGTCCTGATGGATCAGATTTGCCTAGTCCAGCATCCTATTTCCCACAGTGGCCAACCATATGCCAGCACATAGAAGCATCAGCTGTCAGTTTCCCAACAACCGAGAGGTAGCATATAGCTATCGTGACTAGTAGCCCTTGATAACCCTATCCTACCATGAATTTGTCTAAACTAAAAAAAAAAAAAAAAGCCCCCACATGTCACATTTTTTGCTTGTAGAGGAGTTGCTCCAACCCCTTGGTCACTGCAGTTTCCATTTTCTGCACCGTTTTCCAGCTCCACTATATCCAAGCTGCAATCTGAACAATCGCAAAGTATTCCAAGTGTAGTCACACAGCATGGATTCATGTAAAGGCAATACAATATTGGCATTTTCCTTTTTTATCCTTTTCCTAATGCTCCCTAGAATGGAATTTGCCTTTTTCACAACCATCATGCACCTGGGTCTCTTTCCTTGTCAGTCTGTGCCAACTCAGAGGTATAAGAAATTGGGACTTTTTTTGCCCTAGTGTGCATCATTTTACACTTATTTATGTTGAATTGCATGCTATTTCCCATTTATCCATTTTGGAGAGATACTTTGGGAGCTCTTTGCAATCCCTCCTTTGTTTTTCACCGAACTTGGCCACCTCGCTCCTCACCCTTAGCTCTAGGCCATTCATGAACAAGAAGAAATCTGTGAGTCCCAATTCAGATTCCTGTATTTCTTCCTTGTGAGAACTGTCGATTTATCCCTACTCTCTACTTCCTGTTCTTTACCAATTACTGTTCCATAAGAGGACTTTCCCTCTTCTCCCTTTACAGCTGTGTTAATTCAGGAGCCAATCTTAGTGGCTGACATGGTCAAAAGCTTTTTTTGAACTCTAGCCCACAACATCTCATAGTTCGCTCTTATTCTCATGCTCATTGACACTCATATTTTCAAAGAACTTCAAAATGTTAATGAGACAGGGCTTATCTTTCTTCTTCAGCAAGACTTCTTCCATATGCTTGACAATATTATCTCTAGTAATGTTTTCTAC